AAAAAAAGACTGTGTCAATCACTGACAGTTTTCACCAAACAGCATTATTTAGGTATCGTACTAATTTATTCTTAAATATTGTTACTTTATGTTAAAGGCCTGTCATGCAGTTTGCGAAATTATTGTTTTCTGCTGTAGCGACACAAAACTTTCAACTATTTGATCCACTTATTGAATATTTTATTTGAAATTATCATAAAGAACTGAATAAATTAAATACTCCTGGAACAGTATTAATAATTTTCCTTGGGATTTTAAATTAAAAGATATTTTAAAAGTAATATGTTCACCTTTAATGGTAGGTTAATAAATAGTATTTAACCGCTTTCATTTGAAGTTGGTGTTTCAGTCAATATTTTAAGCAAAATGTATATTCAGATTAAACTGAGTTATGTATGTTATCCAAAATTTGAAAAATTTGTTATGGGGAAAATGTTATTACATGTATTAGCCAAGAATTGAATAAATTTGAAAAAAATCAAGGGATTTGTTAATCATAATTTAATTTGAAATGATAACAATTGTAATTAAGTAATTTTAAATTAATATATTATAAATTTAAAGTTATTTAGAAATGTCTTTGCTAACTTCTTATGTTTCTCATGTTATATATTTCATTTTAATATGGCAGCTGCTTCTAGTGAATTTTAATACAGATTGGGGTTATGCAGTTTGTCTTAGTTAAAAAAGGAATATGTGGTATTAGAAAAGTGTATACCGTATTTGACGGCATATAAGACGCACCCTTATTTAGAAGGCCACGCACAAGGAAAAAAAAGCTGCAATAGTCCGCGCGAAAGCGCGATACTACAATAACTTAAAATGTGGTTTCTTTTAGTTCTCACATTTCGTAAAAGCCAAATAGACAATCATTGAATGCAATTACCAACATATTTTTATTAAGGAAAATTAACAAACAGCAAGCTATTTTGAACATGATATGTAAATTTCAATAATGAATAAATTAATGAACGGCAAGCAATCAAACATAATACAAAATAAAGCCGAAACAACAAAAAACACAGATTCAAGGAAAACGTTGCCTATCATGAAATTAGACTTTAATCACTTTCAAGACCATAAAAATCCTTTTCACTATCATCATCATCGAAAACGAGTACATCGTCATCACTACTGTTTCCGTCATCGCTAGTATCACCTTCTTCGAACAACGCGTCATCTTCTGTTCCGTCCATTACAACAAATAGTTTTAAGCACCGATACTGACACGTTTATACAGAGCAGCACCGATACCAACACGTGTGTCCGCTGAGCCGAAGAAAGTCTATGTAAAGAAGGAAAGGCTCCATAGACGTAATGTGACCGTCGAACCTGTTCAAACTTCGACATCAGCTTTGAGCTTTGGCACTTTTTGGCGACAGATATTTCACGCATGTGTAAAATAATTATGGCAGATGTAGAAAAAGTTATGTGTGCCTAGACCTTTATCCAGGCTAAAAATAGCATTCAGTATTGAAAGTTAACCTGTGTACTTCACGTATAAGATGCAGGTAACTTTTTTGAGACCAAATTTAGGAAAAAAGTGCGTCTTATATGCCGTCAAATACTTTAATTAAATTAGTGTCAGATTTTGTTATTATGTATGTATTCGTCATATTAGAATTTCTGCTTTGAAGTATATCCAGTATTTAAAATGCACCTTTTTAAATTCTAATATATTTCCTAATCAATATGTTAAATGAAAATATGGTTTTCCTAAAAAGTTCGTTCTTTATTTTAGACAACAAATTTTATAAATACTCAGATAATGAATAAAGAGTACAATTATTCCATATCATGTTTACTTGGCATGAAAAATATCTCAGTGCATTGTAAATACATGCATTGGTATAAATTTAATTAAGATTTTCTTCCATAATACAAATATGTATACATATGTAGCACATTTAATATATATAAAAATCGTAATGTGGCTATGTTTTGACTTCTGCAATATTTTGATTTGTGCAATAAAGTTATGAAAATTTTTTGTTTTAGTCTTGAAATTTATTTCAAATGCATCAAAGAACTGTCATTTTTGTAAAGAATTAGGGAATAATTTATGACTATTTGTTCTTAGAAAAGTTAAATATGCATTTTGCACTTTCTAACTGTTAATACTGTGTAACAAACAATAATTTGTTTTGAATTGATTGTATCTACATACAAATATCATAAAAATTCTAAGTTTCTTTCTTGATATAAAAGTTCCAGACCTGAGACTGAAGATATATAAGATAAAGCAAAAAAAAAAAAAAAAAAAAGAGAAGTTATTGTTCTTTTGTGCTAGAATGAAGTAATTTACCAGCCCTTTCTGAAAAAGGTACTATAAATTTATATAAATACATGAATTTGTATTTCTGAATACGTAAGATTAAAACCCATTTTTACTTAATTTCTTTATGCTAAATGCAATCACTTGCATTCTTCTATAACAAGATCACAGAGAATTTTTTATTACTTTTCAATTAGTAGTTCATGTTGTACTAAAGTATGCAAATCTTATTTTTTACACCGATAAAAATTATTTTTGTTTTATATTTGGACATAATATATAATTTACTATTCACTGGTGTTCAAAATAAAAGAATTTTCACATTTGATCTATTATATCCAGAACTAGAGGATAAACTGTAATGAAATTTGATACTAAAATTCAAAAACATATGCTGTACAACAGTCATGGTATACATGCATGGTGATGCATAAGACTCCTTAATAGAAGAAGGTATGAACTCCCGTGTCAGTCAGTCCTACTCATGCAGTAATGCTGTTTTCAGGTTTTGGAGGATTTTGAAAGGGGAAAGGTGAGTTGAAGTTGTCCTTCCAAGAGCAGCCCATGTATGTTCTATAGTGCTTAGTCCAGAAATCCGGTAGGCCATTTCATCTGGTTAATATCCTTATTTTCCAGAAAATCATCCACCAAATTAGGCCCGAGTGCACAGGCATTATTGTTCATAAAAATGAGATAAGTGACAAGTGCATTGCTGAAAACTTAAATATGGGGCTCTTAGATTTTGTCTTGTTTTATCAAGCGAAAGTCATAGGAAGGGATAAAGCTTTGAATATACTGCTGAAATAGTCGATAGTGACGTAACATTAGCCTTCGGGCCCGTATCAAAAAATTTTCTGACCTCTTTCACATTTATATCACTCCAAGAAAATCAAAGTTTCTAAAAACTAGATGTTTGTAATGGTGACTTTTACTAGGGCTGGATAAATTATTAAGCAATGTAAGTATGTGCTTAGAGCGTAAAGATAAAGGGGGCACTGCAAAAAATTTAATTGAAAAACTTGTAAATTTCTCCCCTTTTTTTTAAAGATCAGCAAAGTTTAAGAAGGAGAAAAATTGGGACCTTAATCTGTAGAGTTCTTAGTTTTTTTCCGAAGATGAAAAAATGCCCAATGTTCTCGCAGAGATATGAACTCCGGACCTCCCTATAGCTATTCAGATGTGCTTTCCAATTACATTATGAAGACAAGCAATGAAAGCAGCGATAAAATACTTTACAAAGCTAGGCCAAATTAGAATACTACTACATTTAATAGTAATTTAGTTTAGCCTTAAGGTACACTAGCGGTCGAGCGGTAAAGTTGTTAAGCACTGATAGTTCGAATCCCACGAACGGGCTGGCACTTGGGCATTTTCAGGCATGTGTAAAGTGTATACGGGCCAGTTTCTCTTAGAAAGTCCTCCATGGAGGCATCCCCTTAGGCAGGTAGCCCTCGATGCTTTTCAGCAATCACATAGGACTGGGTAAATGCTTGGGCACTGCTTGATTTTAAGCAGACTTATTTTTCTAGCATCAGTTCTTTATGAGATCTTCCTTCCAAGAGGTTAAGTAATGGTGATAAATGAATAAATCTACATGGAAAAGAAATATGCTAATGTAAATATAAAATCTTTAAATTCCTTTCAGAGGAGAAGCAATCGTTGTTTGGTGGAAGTTTTATATAAAATTATACTTTGAGTTTTATATAACATTTGTATCAACCTAATTTTCCCTTCCCCTCCATTAGTTCTAATAAATGAGTAATAACTGTTTCAGACTAGAAAACGGATAGGAAAGTAGGAAAGCACAACAAAAAGAAATTACATTAATAGTGTTACCATGATAGATTTAATTTACAAATATAATTCATATTTAAATGATTTTATAGATTTTCAATAGTTAAATAAGGTATCTGATGTTTGCGTAGGTTCCATATTCATTTACACTTGTCAAATATGTACAGGCAAAATTATTGTCATCTTTTATATCTGATTAGGGCGATGCATGCAATGGTTTCCGCCAAAGACAGGGATACCCCATGGAGGACTTTTAAAGAATACTGCCTCGTTTGGAGAAAAATCACAAAAACTGCCATGTAACCAGTCCACCAGGATTGGAATCTCTGACCGAACTACCAGGGTTCAGTGACTTGGTTGATGGAACCAAAAACTCATTATTATAAGAAATTTTTACAGAACCGCCAATCAAGGGAAGAAGTGTTAAAAGAGATATGCGTTGATGGGAATACTTCAAAGCTTTTGTTAATTTTCTCTCTGATTTTTCGATAAATTAGGTATTATTAAAACATTAACTGTTTCTCATACTTCTCAAATAAATAAATGCATGACGAAACTGAATTGATTTTTAAATGCCTGACAAGCGAACATGAATTGATTTATATATTCCATGCACGAATACTGTCTTAGGCATTTTTGTACAAAGTATATTGCGTATGATTTATTTTTTATTGTTTTTTACATTCATAATTTTTTATCCGAGAGTTCCAAAAATAACTCTCAGGTCTATTTATTAAATGTACGTAATCTTTCTTATTTTAGGAAAATATTCAAATTTTCCCTTAATTTTCAGTACTAAAGCCAAGTACGTTATATTCTGTTCCCACCGTTCCCATAATAATGCAAGCAGTTTCGAAATAGAACGAAGCTTTTAAAGCTAAATTTTTCTTTAAAAGGAAAATATGGAAAATCTAAATAAATAAAGTCAACATAGCTAAAATGAGTGATTTATTGTAACATATTTAATAATTTAATTCAGGACATTTACAAAAGAAGTTGCAGTATAGGATATTTACAAGATTGCCTTGGCAAGTCCTCCTCCAAGGGCGAGTTTTCCAGCTCCCAAACTGAGAAGTCCGTTGCCATAAGCAATGGGGGCAGCAGCGATTCCGTGGCCTACAACACCGGCACCGAGAAGGCCGTTACCGATCAGTCCGTTTCCATAAGCTAGAGGAGCCATGGCGATTCCATGTCCAGCAAGGCCCAACGGAGCAGCAGCAGCAGCAATTCCGGCAGGGGCAATGTGATTGATGGCGGTTTTGGAAGAGGAGACTGCGGGAACGACAGCCGTTCCAACAAGGGCTGGTGCACCAGCTAATCCATATCCGGCTCCATATCCATAGCCGGCTCCTATAAGCCCACTAGCTTGTGTAGCTGCGATGGCAGCGAAGAGTACAAGAACCTGGATAAAAAGAAAATATTGTATTAGTAATTAGCGTTATAAGACTGCAGTGGCATTTTAAAGTTGCCAGCAAACTGTGTAGAAAGATAGCATCATAAAATTTTGTTACTGCAAATATATGTAATCTTCTCACTAGGCCCTTTTTTGCACTTAAAAGTTATTCAGCTAAGCTCTGAGGGCTATGGTCTTAATTTGAAATTTACAAAATTAATTTAAAGCAACTGCTAACGAACGGATTTTTAATTAAAATCGAAAAATTACAATAAATACTTAGATCGTGTCGCATATGTTTACAGAAGATTTTTTGTCATTTTACAAAGATACTGATATCTCAAATCTTTCAAAAAGTAATTTCTGATGTTATGGAATCCTGATTTAGAGAATATATGAAAGATTATTTCATTATATCTTTAAAAACTGCATTCCCTAAAAGTATTGTTGTTGTTGTGACTTAAGAGTGCCGCCATGCTGCAAAGACACTATACATTCCTTTTTTCTCCGCGATTCGAACCCGAGCCTTTCGGTACCGCAGCAGGCTTCCCTAACCAGTATACCGTCTGAGCGGCATTTCTTAAAAATGGTTCAGCGTTCAATTTGCGTTAATTTCCTTCGTAAACAACTGTCAAACGAATTTTAGTTCAATATTTAGATACATCAGTTGTAATAAAAGTGTAGAATTGTTTTGAAAGATTTTTTTTTTTTTTTCCTTTATTTGATGGAAAATGAAACGTCTGAAAAAAGAAATTTTCAATTTATTACATTAAAAAGCTTTTATTATAGCACTTGGCAATTTAAACGGGAAATGATGCACTAAGAACTGTAAATGCGATAAAAAATAGTAACAATGTTTTTTTTAATTATTATTATTATTTTAGCGCAAAGGGCGTTAGCCGAGAAGGTCTATTAATTTCGTTTTCGCATTCTGGGTTGAAAACTTTAAATGTCGGTTCACTTTTAAAATTGCTGTCACCAAATATTAGAGCTCTGTACTATATTTAAAGAAATGAAATAATGAAGAATCTACATAAATTTATATATGTTTCTCGCATTGTGATGAAACAATGGTACCTAGCCATCCAGTTTTGAATAACGTAATCCTCCAGCGAATATGGGCATCTGGAAGCCCGAATTTGGAATTTGTTTTATTATCTATTTCGTATTTTGTCAGACATTAAAGAATTTTTGATTAACAAACTCAAAGGTTTCAAATCACTGGCAACACTGTACGGATGAGAAAAAAAAAAAATTATCTCAAGCGCGAGACTGTGTATCGGAAATTCTACAGATATGCTCATTTTAAAATTATTTTGCGATATTGCTATTGAACTTAATTTTATGGTTTAAGTTCGAAAAACATGATGTTTAATAAATAAAAGTAACACACAAAACGTTAAAAAAAAGCCCCTTTCGGCGTCGTGTAAAATCTGAAGGTTTTCAGATTTTTATTTTTTATTTTATTTATTATTATTATTATTTTTTTTTTTTTTTTTTTTTTTTTTTTTCAAGTTATCCTTTTAGTTCCTTAAACCTTTTATATTATTTTATATACAGATCTTCAAACATTAACCCAAGCGTACCTCGACGTAAGTATTTCAAGAAAAAAATTCTATAATTTAAATTACAGAGAAAAGTTGATTTATTTCAATGTAGTTATATAAAAAATACTATATTCATATCATTGTTCAACACTGCCGTATTACTCACTTATTTCTATCTATACTTGCAATAAACAATTCTTTTGGCTGACAGAAAAAAAATTTACCGCCGTTCGGTTAGACGGGATTTTACTGAATAAACAAAGTACATATATACTTACTTTTGCGAACATTTTGAGTTTGTTGAAGTATTCTGCAACTGAAGCGAATGATTTTTAGAGGAACCATAAGCGTTTATATACCAGAGATTCCATACAGGATATCAAAATAAGGTGTGTCGTATGAAACTAGTATGATATAATCAGAAGGTCGAAGCAAGATACCTCTTTCCTTGAAGATCCTTGAAAAGTGATTTAATAACCCCACCCAATGCAGTATAGCCATAAACTATTAAATTTTTTCCCGTTTATCGGCATGGTACATTAACTGATCGCTAAGAACGTGTTATAGAATAAACCTACCAAAAAACATTTCTATAAACTAACCTTGTTAATTAAAAACTAAACAAACAAAAAGCGTTAAAAATCAGCGTAATTTCGCCATCATTATCAGCAAGGCAAATTAAACAAGATTTTTTCTTGTACCACTGAACTTTTAATTCATACTCATATTTTTCTTCTCGTATTTGTCATCCTTACTCATATCTATCAGTATTTAAAATAAGATTGCTTTTACTGCTGCAATTTTGTTCAAAATGTTCAGAACAAAACAATTTGTGGCTAATGCACATGATTAAGAAAATATGCTAACTGATATTGTTAAAAAACGAATACTTACTATGTAAAATAACAATACAATTTTATAATAAATGAATGAATTCCATCAAATTTCTCACTTACATAAGCACTACTGCAAGCGACACTATTAAAAACCTCAATTATTCTTCATTTTATACATATTAAGTTCTTTCCTTGCAAATTAGGAATATGATAAATTTTAAATCTTTATATATAAGATTCAAAACAAGTTCGATAAATTCAACTTTAACTTGTATTTTTCAACATATATTGGGATAAATTTACATTTATAAATTTATAAAGAATTTCAAGCTAATCTAATCACAAATAATTTCATTTTGGATATTTCTGTAGAAGATAATTTTTAAACTAATATATCGTAAATAAATAATAAAAATAAAAAATATATATTTATTTTAGCTTAATTTTTAAATATAAGTAATTTGATTAAAAGGGGATGAAATACAAGTTCTATTTACTTCGAATTTTATTTTAACAGTTTATGTAACGTTTTCCAAGGACTGCAGCGGTTATATGCGTTAGGGCAAAACACACAAGGACAATATGCTTTAGTAATGCTTTTCAGAGATTTACTTACAGTTTTCACCAAAAATTAGAAACTACCTTTCAAGGAAGGAATACTTTCGGGATATCTTCTACTATATTTGTATAGAATTCTTCTTTGGAAAAGCTCTACTGTTGAAAAATAGTGCAACTGTTACTTATACCGAATTTCAATATCCAGAACATTTTTTTAAAATTAAGCTAATTGCATTTTTCACACATTTTAAACTTTTGCCTAATTCAAGTACAGTACAACTCCAGTTCTCCGAATTAATTGAGACCACACTCCATTCGGATAATCAAAAATTCAGGTAATTGAATTTTTTTCCAAAGAAAGCTATACGTACACTTTAATCAATTACTGTATGTTGAAAATGGGAGAAAAAGACTATTTTTAAAGAAAAAGAGGTTTTAATGAATTAAAATGAAAAGGCAACATTTTTACGTCCATGTTATATAGCGTACTGTACAGTACTTGCAAGTGCTGAAAGTCATTGCTTTGTTGAACATTTCGGTCTGTTTGACTGTCTTTATCTGTTTTCGGGCAGCCAAGTCGCGCATCCACTTGACAATGAGAAGTTGCATGTGGTCACACTCGGGCTGACGCCCCATCCACTTCAAGGCCAGCAAACGCTTCCCTAGTTGATGATCCCGCGTGTGCTTCAACTTCGACATTAAGATCATCTTCTTTCTCGACACTTTCAGATCACTTATTCATCATTTAGAATTTGAAACTCAGAGTCTAATGAATCACACACCACCAACCATTCTGCTGTATCCTCAGCACTAACTTCTGAACATCTAGAAATTTTTAAAAGAATATTTCTTAATTCCTCAAGTGACACGTCATCATATCTTCTCTTGTCTCTCCCTTTTCCTTTGAGTTTCTTTTTCTCCTTTTCCTTCTTTTCTTCGCATGATTCTGAAAAATTCTGAAAGCGATTTGGATAAATTGGAATTGTACTGTAGTATAACAAAACGTCGATTTTTAAAAGTACAAAACTGACTGGCAATCCGGGTGGCAGTTATAAAATAAAATCCGTTAAAATAACAGGACTCACAGCAAACTGTGTTAAAAATTTGTATTTCAAACTTATTTTAAATGATTTATATTAATAATAAATAATTTTTTAATGCTTCTAGAGTCATTAGCTGCTTTTTTTCTTTAAAAAAGAAGGAGACATGAAAAATGAACAATGGCCTTCCTGGGACTCGAACCTGAACCTCTCGAATATGCGACGAGTGTGCTACCGTTGCACCACGAAGGCATGCTGAAAGGAGGGAGAAAATATCTTATATGCTTCAACAATAAAAATAGAAATAGAATTATCCATTTAGTTCTAGAGCACCTAAATAATTTTAAATTAATTTTATTTCTCGAAATTTCAGTATAGTAAACATGCATTTGATCTACACAAAGAGGGCGGTCACTGAAGATATTTAAGTTGACGACATGGGTTAGATTCGATTATTTGTTACGGAAAAATAGTCAAAGAGTTATCTGCTTCCAAAAGGCTAGCTTCAAGGGAGATTTTATAAAATGCATTGGTATTGTCTTTACTAATGGGCAAAATCCTAATAATGAATTATTCATATCAATTTCCAAGAACAAAAATATGACAAAACACTTGTGGTTCACAAGTGTTCAGCAACCGCTCGCTCCACTTGACAGCTGGTGGGCACTTTTCATTTCAAAATGTCGCCCTGTCTTTAAGTATAACCACGAAAATGTCTCCTGCTCAAAGAATATGTAGAAAAATGAAAGGTAGGTATAAAAGAATATGAATCAATTATTTGACTGCGCCAAACATAAATCTTGGCACGAAGTCTAACTACAAATATGAAATGTAATCATAACGATTTATATTGCCTCATGAAAGGAATTTATAGTTTATTAACAATCAAAATAAATTCCAAAACAGATAGAAATTTTGAAGTTTACATATAGAAATGCGTGTAGTTATTCTAAACACTTGACTGTACAGTTATTCATTAGAATAGTGATTCATTCTTAGTTTCGGTTAAGAGAACTCTATCACTGAATTATTTACTTCAGAAAAGTAGAAACTGTAATAGCCATCAGGAAAGAAATACTCTACACCTGACAGACACTTAACAGCCACAGTGACCTATAAGGGGAGATACAATTTACATCCATGCTTTCTCCGGGATTCAAACCCGGACTCTTCGGTATCTCAGTCGGCTCCTCTAACCACTATACCGTCTGGGTGTCACAATTAAAGAAATGTTTTAAATGACGAAAATATTCATGTTTTAGAAATCCCAAATTAAAAAAATACTATTTTCGACAAATAGTGAGATCTAACTTTCAATGCGGTCTCTTGGTTCTATACTTATATTAGGGAAAGTTTTAAACTCTTTATGAAAAAAATAAAAATATAAGAAGTTTGACTCTCGTATGACAAAAATTGACGGGATATTTAATTTCAAAATTTGCAGCTTTTGAAGTCATTTTCAACTTGCCTTGAGGGATCCGTTAATTTAGAATAATTTGAGGAAATAAGTTTAAATGAAGTATACAAAAATATGAATAATTTAGTAGGCAGCACAAAAAAGTCATGTGGTTGTTCACATCAGATTTTTGAATGAAGGATTATGCAGTTATAACCCACCTGCGCGTAAGCTAATAGACCCAGGGCTACGAAATTTGGTAGATAGATGCATCTAGACTAGAGCCACTGCACCTCGAAGCGATTTTTTCAAAATTCGAATCAATTTTTTTTTTTAATTTTATCTTTTCGATTTTATCGCATCATTTTGAATAGTTTCATTCATTTAGAAATATGGTTTTCGCAACAGTTTTTCATTCAATTGTATACTGGACTGCTGATTGTTGAAAATCAGCACTGTTGCCACCTGGAAAAATGAGGGCGATAATTCTGTGTAGTTTTAAATTTAATGTTTCTCTTGGATGCTATCTAACAGAACCACATCCATCTTTGAACGAATAATCCTGTTTCAAAATTTGTGTTCGTAATTCATAGATTGTGTTGGCTGAATGCAGGTACATCAGATCGGTTTATCTGAAATCTTATCTGAAGTTGAAAGTGCGACACCTGTAGATTATATCTTGAGCAACATTCTTACTCAAAACTGCAAGAAAAACTGAGTAATAGGGTTTTGTTACCGCAATATGGCTTTCGTTCGCTCCAACATAACGTCTTGACACATCCTGTCTATTCGCGAAGCCGTTTCCTTTTAGATTCACCTCCACGAATATGGCATCTGAAAGCCCTAATTTGGAATTTGGAATCTAAATTTTTATTATCGGTTTCGTATTTTGTAACACTTTAACGAATTTTTGATTAATAAACTCAACGATTTCAAAGAGAGCAATGGCAATACTATACGGAAAAAAAAAAAAAAAAAAAAAAAAAAAAAAATTAGCTCCAGGGAGCGAGATTCTGTATCGGAAATTCTAAAGATATGCTCATTTTAAAATTATTTTCCATATTGTTGTTGAATTGAATTTTGTGGTTTACGTGCGAAGAACATGATATTTAATAAATAAGGATAACACTCAAAACTTTTGAAAACGCCCGTTTGGACATAATGTAAAATTTGAAAGTTTTCAGATTAGTCCAAAGGGGCAATTTGCCCTGAAGGACTATTAATTTCGTGTTGGCATTTTGCATTGGTTCACTTTTAAAACTGTTTTCACCAAATATTATCGCCCTGTGATATACGAGTATTTAAAGAAATTAAATAATGAAGAATCTCCATAAAATGTATGTTTCTCGCATTTGGATATAACGACGGTACCTACAGCCATCAAATTTTGAATAACGTAATCTTATACCGAATATGGTCATCCGGAAACCTAAATTTGGAATATGAAATTTGTTTTATTATCGATTTCATATATCTTGTAACACTTTAACCAATTTTTGATTAACAAACTCAACGCTTTCAAAGCGAGCAATGGCAAAACTGTAAGTGAAAAAAAAAAAAAAAAAAAAAAAAAAAGCCAGCGAGTGAGACTGTGTATCCGAAATTCTAAAGCTTTGCTCATTTGAAAATTATTTTGCGATATTGCTGTTGAATTGAATTTTATGTTTTAATTGAATTTTAAGTTCAAATAACATGATACTCAATAAATAAACACAAACAAACGTTAAAGAAACACCCCTTTGGGTGTAATGTAAAATCTGGAAGCTTCAGATTTTTTTTTTTTTTTTTTTTTAATCTTTTTAAACGTTGTAAGAACTGCTTGACTGCATGTCGATGTATACGTATTTGAGATTAAGTGCGCTGGAACATTTTGTCGCGTTTTAGAATAAAATGTGTATTTTTCCAAATGCCGGAAGAATGATATAAAAAATTTCATGAATGAGTTTTAAAAAAAAGTAGTCTAGTCGAACGTATAAAAATAAAACTCTTTAAAATTAATCAATATACTAAGGCTCAATGTCATTTGTGAAGGAACATAATAGGTGATACTATCTGCACTATATGCAAGAAAACATACCGTTTAAGTATACGGCAAGGGCACGGCATTTATCAATGTCATACTTGACGTAAATCCAGACGAAAAATTTCTTTCCGGTTTTCGCAGTTTTAGAATCAATAACTACTTTTGATAGTTAAAACTGACCTAAAAAACGACCACGCAGAGTATATAAGCTTCAGAGAAGTGTAAGGTTTTTATTCTGAAAATAGAAATCACACATTCATCATGATCGCAAAGGTAAGGCAAGATTTATTTTTATATATATTAAATATCACAAGCGAAATTTCACCTGTCTTTTCTATTTTAAATATAGTTTTAAATTTCCCAATTTTATATGATTTTAAATGAATTGGAATATAGTCTTTATAGGCTTTTACCTATATAATAAGCATAATTTCATTTAAAAGTCTTTAGTTTCTTCTCGAGTTAAGACACCTACAAAAGAACGCACTGAATTGATTAATAAAAATCAAAAGATATTAAGTATGCAGTACTCTCACGAGATGAATTTTCTTCGTACCCACCAAATATTACATGTAAAAACTTCCCTTTTAATTCTGAAACTTCTCCTAATTTTCTAAAAAACGGAAAAATATCCGTGGAATTTATTCTTATATTTATAAGATTAAATCATTAACTTATTTTAATGGAAATTTTTAAAGTAATCATCCATTCTAATACATCTATTACACGTTTGTACAAACGTACAAACATATTCAATATACGTGCTATCATATTTGCAATCTTGGAAATTTTAATTTATTAAATTTATTAGGTTAAAATAATAAAGAACAAAAATTTATTTTTTTATTGTTAAATACATTGTATTAATGACCATTTATATGAACATAAATTTTCTTACAATTCTATTTAAAATAGTGCAGAAATAGAAGTTTTGATCTGAAGATTATTATAATGTTATAAGTGCACATAGTAATCATATTTTGTATTTTTTATTTCCTAAAATTTAAAATTTTAATAATTTTTATTCTATATATATAATATTTAAGTTGCAATGATCGTGAAATTCACTCATAAAACATCATGTACTTTATTTTTAGGATAAGTTTAATAAGTAGAATGTAAATCAAAATTTCGTTCATAATTTCAAGATTTCCATTTTTATAAACGTTGCCTCGGTACTATAAATAAACCATTTATATGAACATTGTCTAACAAAACTACAGTAAATTGTACATTTTATCTCTAATGACATGACGATTTGCAATAAAAATACGTATTAAACTTTACAATTAACGTATTAAACAACAAATACATATTAAACTTTACAACCATAGACATAAAATAATTACTGCGAAAATTAAATTTCTTTTCCATAATTCTATGCAAAATAAAATTGCCTTTCCTTTAGGCTTAGTTTTTCTATAACATTTAGAACAATTAAAATGTTTCGTTCTAAAATATACATAGGACATATCATTTAAAGAAATATTCAGGTGTTTCTTCAAATAAATTATGGACATAATTTTTTATCAAAGGAAAAGATATTTTCATAAAAATGTTAAATTCTTTATATCTACAGATTGATCTTAGATCGAATTTGAAGTAAAAAGAACATAATACTGTTACGATTAGAGATATCTAAGAAATCTATATGGTTATAACATTTATTTAATAGCTTATGCTATTAAGTTTTAGGTTTCTAGTAAGTTTTAAAAAAATTAAAATGTAAAATAAATTTTAATAATTTAATTCGCTTTGATATTTAGGATATTTATTTTAACTTTAACCGTGCCGTTTGAAAATATGTATTTATTGATTGTAGTTATAAAACAAATTGGAAGGAAATACATTACAGTTAAAATCTGATATTTATAAAATTATATTAGCAGATTTAAAGACAGCATATTGTTAAAATTAAATCTAACAGCTAGATAAGTAGGAGCTGAATTTTCTTTTCTGCACTGAATTTATTTTTCAAGTAAATCAGATATTGAAAACAGGTCTTTTTATTCATTAAGGCTATTTGAAGTTCACGAAAGCAATCAGGTTTTAGCATTGCATTCCTTTATAAGTATAGATCCACCAACGACCCAGCGATAAAATCGCTGAACACTGGTAGTTCGGTCAGAGGTTCACAAACCCGCGAGCGGGCTGGCTGCATGGGCGTAGTCCATTAGAAAGTCCTCCACGAAGGCATCCCTCCCCTTAGGCAGGTAGGCCCCGAGGCTTCGCCGTAATGACATAAACCAAACCAACCTTTATAAATAAGCAAGCTTTGAAGCATTACTTACACTTTCGTATTCAAATCAGTTTAAGATACGTTTTAATTCATCTGGAGGGAAACATCTCTGAAACAAATGTACAATTTTTTTCAGTTTTCAGTCATAAATCTTTTGAAATTTGTATATTTCCTATTATTTAGACATAAGTAAATGCAAACTTAATTTCACACCTGTGACTCACAACATAGCACGATCACTTTTTTATGTTTTAGAGCCCTTTAATCAGTTACTTTTACAGGAAGGAGCGTAAAAACAGATCAACAGCGTCTTACACTTCCTACTTCATCTTAAAGATTAAATTTTAAATCTTCACAAATTACTGAAATTTCTTGGGACACATTTAACGTGATGGACGGGCGGGACATTTATGTCCCAGCCCCCTGGAAAAGATTAATTCAATGTTTAACTTAATTATAACTTTATTTCAATTTGTTGCCTAAGAACTTTAATTGAAGTGAATGTCATCTATTTTCTTTCAGGCTGTTTTCCTGTGCTCTGTTCTTGCAGCTTCCTATGCCAATGTTCTTCTGAAGGCACCCCTTGTCAGTACTGGTGTCAGTGCTAGTTCTAGGACACAAGATGTACGTTAATTTTCTTTCAAGTTTTTAAGCAATTACTATTACTGGAATAGCTATTTAATTTTTTTAACAATTGTGTATTTATTAGAAATTTTTAAAAATCAGGTAACCTAACACTAGAATAGTTATTTTAGCTAGTTTTTAGTAATAATTAACAGAAAATTTCTGTTTTTTGAGTTGTTTCTGTTTTTTGAATTTTAACGGAAATGAGAAATTCTGTTTTTTGAGTTGTTAGTCGAAGTACCAATCGCAATAATATATATATATCCTTAAATTTGAAAAGTTTTGAATAAAAAAGGCTTTCAAAAATTACGTAAATCCTTTTTTCTTAATATTATTTAGTTTAGAAAATATAGCCTACTATAGATATTACATCGTATTCTAATGCAGTTAGAACCGAAAACGAAATTAAACCTTTTTATGAAACATCTGAACTCTTATATTTAATTGAAATTATCTACGGCAGCCTTTCATTCAAATGACCACTACCGTCCGAAATGACCGAGATTGCGATGCTGTTTTCTTCCCTTCCCTAAAGTATGCAGTAGCAGGCGCACTTTCCCCAAATGGCATTGTGTTAGTTTATCGCATACAGCTTGACCTAAAAGGCTAGTGAAAGCTTCTTTGTTAGGAAGTAGAAAGGATGTCGTTTGAAATCTTCACACCTCTTTGTACATTAATGGACGGGGAATGGAGAAACGGACGGGACGGGTAATGGATAGGGACGGGCGTTTCGGTATTTTAAGCATGTACGCTAGCGAAAGCTTCTGTTTTCTAAGGATTAAACTACTAATTTGTTGAAAGTAAAATTTTTTTAAAGTTTTCCTTTTTATGTTGAAAGATTTATAATTGTAGACAGAGCAATGAACGAGTAATTTTTGGTTCAATAAGTGCAATGTGATGATAAATATAATAGTAAAATTTTCTCAGCAAATTCTCTCGACTGTTTCTAATATAAGAAGAGTAAACACCAGTTCGTCGGATTCTATCACTTCAGGGTGCTTTTGGCCGGAACTCATAACATAATTTACACATATATTTTGTCTTCATTAAATAATTCATAGAAATTTTAGTTTCTAGTTTCGTTGTTGCCTCTGGTATTTAGTTAAGGCAATACGTTATAAAATTTCCAGTACTATATAAAAGCAAAAGATTCCGTGAATTAATATAATTTAACAACTCGAAACATAAATTATAACTGTCAAGCAATTATAAGCTTTTCTTCCAAAAAAATGGAGTAAGAAATATATTTAAATGCTCTTTATTATTATAATATTTATTTAATCAAAGGAAAGGTAAAAGATTTTTATCTATTTACGTCAAACTTCATTCATTTATTTTCTCTACATAAAAGTAGTCTTAAATCAAAGACGGATATGATTGCTTTGACTTACGGTTAAATAAACTTTTATTTTTGATAAAATATGATGTAAATATGAAGAAACTTCTGCCAGTAGAATCGATAGATAAGAATTCACGCACTGAGTTTGTGTTTCGCTCTGATTATATTTTAAAATAGTTTTCATACAAGCTATTTTGAAGCACTGTCAATACGCTTATAAGTAATTACTTTTATTTTAGGCTTATGGAAACTATGCTTTCAACTATGACATCGTTGACAAACTCGGAGCTTCCAACCAGTACCTCCTATAAACGAAGCCACGGCACGCCGCACACTACGTCACTAAAGTCGTCCTTATGTACAGAAAGCATGGTTGCCACATGAAACCACTTATCGCTGTTATTCCTTTAAGAGGAGAGAAAATGAAAAGTAGTTTTTTATTTCCTTGCATAAGGCTTACTATATCGTTTGGTTTTAAATATATATATTATATGTGTGTGTGTGCAAATATATATATTCCGATTTGATTTCATCGACTGCATTTTCTAATTTCAAATACCTAACCTTACTTTCCTTATATATTTTTATGCTTAAAATAATAACAGTATAGTAAAGAAATTAATTCAACATGCTTCAGATTAGTAGTAATAAATATATACTGAATATCTGGCTGATGCTGGTTTGCTTTCTGAAGAATATATATCTTATTAAATATTTTCTTCCTTAACAAAGAGGATAACGCATAATTAAGCAAGCAAGTTTACAATTGATTAACACTAAAAATCCTTAAATTAATTTTAATCAATTTTTAACGGCATTTTCTGTTTCTCATAAATACAAATTTACACATAATTGTTTAGTAGTCATTTTCCGCTTTTTTTTCACTTCAGTGTGGGACTGAATTTCTTAACAGATGAGAAACCTGGAGAATGATTTGAAAAATACTATTTTTTTAGCATCTATCAATATTTTATTCATTGGTAGTTTTAAAATACGGTAGCAAAACATTTCATATATTTAGGCATTTTAAATTAGATCATTATTTGAGAATACATAACTGCATCTTCCCCAATAATAAAAAAAAGAAAAATTGTAAAAATTCAACAAACTTGACACTTGCTAGGAATTCAAAATTCTTATGTTTCATTCTTATTGTTAAATGTTTGTAACACCCCTTTTGTCTAATTATGTGCATATAATTTTTTTTTTGTAACTTGTAAATTTTTGTTCCTGAAAGCATTTCATTGTAACTTATTTGAGAATTTTTTAGCAAATGATAAATATGAAGTTTATATATGTATTTACTGGAATTTTTATCAGGGTAATCAGTAGGAACTTTTAAAACATCTAAATAGATCAAATGTCCTCAATTCTTAGAATTGAAAGAATAACAAGTTTTATGTATTTTCCTATTAGAAATGAAAATAAATATAGCCTGATTGTTAAGATGTAAAGTAAGATTTAAAATTTTCAAAATAATTCAGATTTTTATTAAAGGAAAGCAACACAATTAGGATGCAAAACATATAAAAAGGATTTTATTTATTTATTTTTTTTGGCCTGAATTTTTTGTACCAGTAAATTTATAACTGGAAGTAATAGGAAATGGCATTGCATACTACAGTGGGAAAAAGGGTGGGATGACTATTTATTTATGTAACTTGATGCTACTTATTTTTTATTACAGTTAAGTCTTTTTAATATCAAAATAGTTTAGTATAACTGCATGAAGCCTTACAGCTGGGAAGGATTAAAAATATTTTTTTTACTCAATTTATTTTTGATAAGTTTTCCCTTGTATATGTACAACCACATCATTAGAAATTTTAATTCCAAAGTATTTAATTTTAGTTTTGACAGAATTTAGCATGTATTACAATGAAAATATTGTATAAGAATACAGTGAATTTCCTCCATAAAAATGCATGAATATCTATAAAAATGACTCATATGGAATTGTAGGTAAAAACAAATTGTATTTATTTTCTTCTTACAGTGTAAAATTAATGTAATAAACATGTCTGCTTCAATTAAAATAATATTAAAAAATTGCAAGATACTGATTTCAAAATCTAAACAATAGTAATATTAATTGGCAAAGTATTTTATCTTCAAAAATCAATATTTCTCTAGTTTACAATAAATACACCTATTTTGCACAAAATGATATTATATAAGAGACTTAACAACTTTAGCACTTTACTGTCATTAGTTATCTATTACAAATGCTTTTTTTTTTTTTTTTTTTTTTTTTTTTTTGTGTGTGTGTGCATGCATTTTGAAAGAGTTGGTAAAGATTTCACAACACAAATAGAAAAAGCACTATTTTTTTATTTAACATACTATCTACATTCTGCAAAAAATATTCATTTAGATAAAATGAATTACAAATTAAGTCTGAAGATAATAAGAAACAATAGATTAGTGTCACTATCTTATTTTATAAAGTTTACTAACTTATAAACATAGTATATGTCATTTCTGCTGTATGCATAAATTATTTTTTTAATGTTTTCAATTTCCGTTGCTTATTTAAATTGTTACTTAAAAGATTATCATTCAACTTTTTGCAGTAATAATATTTAGAAAAATATTCGTTGATGCTTGTATGATGCTTTTTCAAAATAATTTGAGGGTCATGAAGTTTAGGACAGTCATTCAACTCTAAAAAAAAATTTTCATGAAGTAAATTTAGAGTAATTTTACACACTGTAACTCGTGGATTTGCCGAAAATAAAAATTTTTGCTCATATTCATCTGAAATAAGTTTCTTAACAACAATAAAATTGTATATAACAGCATGTAAAATATCAGGATGAGGATACATAAGACCTCTATCAAAAACCTTAATCCATGAATGAATATTTTCATCGTTTTCTAAAGCTAACTCCTTATCAATAGTAATATTGGATTTACATACAATCACATTTTAACTTTTTTAGCATACTATAACAGCAATATCCAGCTATATAAGTCAAAATAGGTACATCCAATTTTATGTCGTGTATATCACTATCTTCAACTGTTATTTCATCTATGAATGTTTGTACATCAGTGTCATCAAAAGTTTGTTCTTCAGTGTCTTTAAAATCAGATACATGAAGAGGAATATTTCCAAATTTTGAAGAATTTATTAGGGTTGGTAATGTACTACTCTGAAGTCTTAATTTACCCTCTATTTCATAAACCTGTCTGATAGAAATATTATGGTGAGCTCCAGCCAGTTGCCTGTACTTACCAAATCTAGCCTCTAACATATCTGTTTGTATTTTTCCAAGTAAAAGGTATTTAAAACCCAACTCATTTATACAATACCTTGATATCTCAATTAAAGCATACGTTGTATGGTATACTGCAAAGTGAGTTTCTTTGGTTAGGCAACCAGAGGTTAAATTCAAATTTTTCCAACTATCTAGCCAATTCAAAAAGTTTATTCATAAAAACATATTTTTCATCATTTTCTGCCACAGTGAAAGGTGTTTCAAATACATTATTTTTATGAACCCCTTTAAAAATAGATTTCACATTTACAATTGACCACCATGGTGTTTATTATTTTAATAAAGTTTCCAGTTTCTTGAAAGTTTATTATTTCTTTCTTTCTGCTGCCCAAAAGAAAATAATGCTTCAACAACATTATCATTAAAAATCTGCAATGCAAGCTTTACACTTTGTTTTTCTAAGTTAGTTGGATATAGAGCTTTTATTGTTCAGACCATAAGCATACTTTAATAACTTTTTACCAGTTTCAGAATTCATGTAATTTTTTAATACAAGAAAAAGATGCAGTTTCAATATGTGAAGCATCATCAAAACTTGGGAAAAAAACATACTCTGATTATTATTTTTTTTTTGATTTATCCTAGTTATTTCTAATGCATTTTAAAATATGCACTGTATCAATAATAAAAAACATGGCCTAGATTTGTCAACAGGTTTTTGATAAACAATACTAACTTTAGGTGGTTCTGAAAACAGAGACATAGCCTTTTTATTAATCGAATTATTGTCGGTGACAATAGCAATAATTTTAAACCCAATATTTTCTAATCCCACAACAATTTTTTTAATATAAATATACAAATTATCTAAGCGCACTAAGTTATCTGTTTTTTTCACCGGCAAAATATGTACAACATCCTTATAAACAGATAATAGGCTGCGAATCATGAAAACATATGCACTAGATGCAGCATTTTTGCAATTATATGCCATTCCACACAAATTACCACCACCTTTATAATCAAATGCTTGATTTAGATGAATTTCATCAATCATTAAAATAACAAGCAGATCTTTTTCTGATAATTCTTGAAATTTAAATTTTATGTAGCTTAGGAACTTTTGGTTGTAATTGTTCATTTATTGGATGTATATTAAAATCTGAAAAAATTTTCTGAATGGTCCGTGGATGAGGCATAATAATATTTTCTGAATTTCGAATAAAATTATATGCATGTGGTGAAATTGTGTGAAGTAAAGTAGAAAATATTAGAAAGTCTGCAGAATACCTATATTGTTGTTTTTCTGAATTCAAAGTTTGATAGTTGCTCAAGGAGAAAATTTATTTCATTGTTTTTATGTGGAATTTTCTCTTTTAAAATTGTCATTAATTCATTTACAATTTGTAAATAATTTGCTGAATACTGTCTTCAGATGAATCATTTGAGGCAAATAGGTCTAATTTCTCTAAAATACTTAAAAGATCTTTAAGGTTGTTAATTTTTGATGGGATTACATATTGCTTCAGTGATTTAATAGGTATATTTCTAATTGCTACAGATATATTCAAATTACAATCAATCAAATAATGATTTTAGAATTCTTGGATGATTGTCATTAGAAATATTAAGAATCATAGTATGTATAGGCCTGTGTATAACTATCCAGTTATCTGGTAAATTCACAGTATTAAAACAAATTTTTAGTTCATCTAAATTATAAACATTTGTTTTTGTTCATACTCTTACTCTTCCTTTTCAGCTAAGCTACAGGCTAAGGCTTTTTCGAGTGCATCTTGTTCTCTTTTGAGTCTTTTATGCTCTGGTGATTCCCTTGATGAAACACTGGAACTAAGATGACTCGGACCATCAGGAAACAGAACTCGGAATTGCACACATTCTTTAAACGAGGATATGACAATGGTATAATGATCTTCTTTTCCAGTTTTCTCATCAAAGAATTCAGTTTGCCTCAGAACATCCTCTTGCTTGAAGTGAAGTTCACACACCTTTTAATATGAAAAAGAACAAATAAATAAACATGTATCAAAAGGTTAAACAATTATAAAATCGTAAGCATTCGCCATCCTTTAAATACATGCACAGTCTAATAAGGGTTTTATTGTATTTTTATTTAATCATGGCAAAGCACTCAAGAGCTATCTGCTTAAGGGAAGGGTTACCGTTGTGGAAAACGTTCATCATTTAATTTCTTTAAAAATAATACAGGGCGATAATGTTTGGATGGTAACAATTTGAAGAGATATAGCCATTTAAAGTGCACAACGCAAAAAAGTGATGCAGCCATTTAGAGTGAATAATGCAAAATCTTAAAACAAAACTATTAACTCTTTTGGGCTAAAAAGAGCCATGGATGCTGTCAAAGTTTTGAAAAGTGCAAATAATTAGCACATGTTTGTTGTCATATGTCAAATGCATATAATATAAGTAATATTTAATTGATACATCCTCAGGTAACATACAATTGCTCATGTATATATAATTGCTACATCCTAAATATTTCTTTCTTCAGTTATTTGAAAACAACACTTGGTTATGGAATTACATTCAAAATGGTGATAATACAGTTATAAAAAGAATAAGATTAACCATCAGTTGATGGATAAGAATAAGATTAACCACATTCATTCGTACCATTCAAATATAAAGTTACTGGCTCTTTTCTAAACAAACATTTTTACAAATGATATGTTCACAACCAGAAGTACAAATTTACTTGTGTGCCTATGAATGTTTATATTTAAGAGCATAAAACATCATTAGTCATTAAAAAAATTCATTTTTCTTGAATTATTGAAAACATGTATAAGTGCTAAAAATATGATACACAAAGAAAAAAAAAACAAGAATTTGTATATTTAACAGTTTATTTGCAGTAATTAAATATTTTAGGCTATTCTTATGTAATTTTGGAGTGAAATATTCACATTCATCAATTGTGTTTGACATTATATTACTGTGGAAGGCTCACTAGATTGCTTATTTTCCATATAATTTTCTTAACTTTTTTCAAAAATTTTAAAAGTTATATAACTTATTAATACAATGAAACATTTTCATATTCCACTGCAACAAGTATAAATAAACAAAACCCCTTATATAAGTGTTTTTTTAGATAAGAAATTAATGTAAATTTCAAGCCCACAAGAACTTACTGCCAGTAGCAAGTGAACCACTGTAACAAGGTAGGTGTTATTGGCATAAGAAACTCGTACTTTTATAGATGTGTGTGTGCATGAAACAATTTAATAGGCTAATTAGGATTTATGCTAACATGTAATGAAAACTAGTAAGCTTACAATCTTAGGCAATATTATTTGAACAAGACAGTTTAATTTTAAACACCTTGTAACTTATTCCAGAAATTAAAATAATTACTGTCAAAACTAGTCCATTTATACGATTGTTTTCTTTTACATATATTTCATAATTTTTTTAAGGATTTTAGAATTATTAAAGTTTAGAACACTGCATAATTAGCATTAATTTCCTGTTCACATGAGTTACGAGCAAAATGCATTCTCAAATGCTCCTAGCATATAATAAAGGGGCATTGCATACATTCAGTTTTAAAAATAAAAAAAAAAATAAATAAAAATAAAATAGGTGGAACGAGACTTATCTAAATCAAAAGAAATAGTATACCCAAACAGTTAAATACTTATATCTAAAACAACTTTAAATTAACGGCTTTAAAATTACGACTTGAAGCATTTTATATTTATCTACTTAAAGTTATCATATGAACTTTATAAGGTTGGTGGATTTTCTATTGACTAGTTATTGAGAAAAGGGTCCATTTTATAATCACTTTAAAATTCAGTATAAGCTCTGTATAACATAAATTCCTGAAAGATTAATCACAATCCCAAATCAATGTGCGTGTTATAAAGATCCCGACGCCGAAAATATAAATTACTGAAAGAATTCATTAATAATACTCATTCATAATGGGATAAGAGAAATTTCTGCCTAGTAAATAAATATATAACTATGCTTGTATAGAAAGTAATTAAAACTTCGTTTTATTTTCTATAGTTGAATGCAATGGAACTTTAGTAAATTATTTCCCTTGCATTGAGAATTTTTTGTTTTCGCATTTTCAAGTCATGTTTCTTTCAATGACATTAATCTTTTCAGGAATTTTCTAATTTAAAAATGAAATGCATGCTTACCTTTGAATGTTTCGTAGGCTTGAATCCATCTTTTCGTTTGCAGTTCCAAATCCATTGTTTTCTCAGTTGTTCTTCCGTAGGAAAACTAAATACAGCCACCTTCGGGCCATTCTTATAATTTCCTTTGCATGTTGCAACACAGCATTTATGTGGCATAATAAAAAATAAATAAAGTAATTTAAATGAAAAATGTTCTATTAGAGCACACTACACTTTCAAACAACAGTCAGTTCACTACGCTACGACACCGAAGTATATTCTTTCATTCTTTGCCACGAGGAAGATGGTAGGAATGACGACTTAGATGACGTCAGACCGTTCAAGCAACCCTAGAGGCTTGGCTTCGTATATAGGAGGTACTGTTCCCTCCCGATCTGAAGCAGGTGACGGCCATGGTAACAAGAAGGGAACCTATACCATCCACGATATCGATGGCAGAGCTAGACGAGTAGACTATGTAGCTGATAAACTTGGATTCCGTGCTGCCGTGAAGACCAACGAGCCAGGAACCGCTGCCAGCACTCCTGCTGCAGCCCTCATTGCTAGCCCTTACGCTGGACCATCTGTCGATCACATTGCCCCTGTTGCCACTGCAGTCTACGGACATGCTGTTGCCGCTCCAGTTGTAGCTGCTGCTGCTCCTGTTGCATATGGAGGTGTCATCGGACACGGAGCCGCTTTGGGTTATGGTTATAATATGGGATATGGATATGGAGCTGGTATTGGCAAGGCTCTGATCCATTAAAAACATAAATTCGCCGATCTCCCGTAGAGTTTAATTTATTATTTTTATTATGTTATGGTAAATAAATTATTTTATTCCCGTAAAGAGAAATATTTATTTTCAAAATAGAGATTCACATGTTTTTTTCTGAATTTATTTTACAAGGGAAAATATTTTATAGAGTTCAATAGGGTATATGAGTTCCTTCTCTATTATATTTCAGGCTTATATAAATTTACTGTTCATGTATTTTAATATGTGGGCACTAAGTGCTGTCATTCACGAAATTCTTCTCTTTATTAAATTCAGCCTATAAATATTCTTAAAACACACTTAAGAACTACATATTTGTTAAATCTAAAGTAGCTTGTAAGATTCTCACTGGTGTAATTCTCAGTTACTGTAGAAAGTGACGAATCTTAAGAACTAGTTGGCGAATAATCGCTTAAGTTCGTGTGACAAGAAACAAAAAGATGGAAGGGTAACTAACCCTTTATTATTCCAATAAGATTTAACAAAACTCCGTCTTGGAGTGTACAGTAAAAGCCGACACTTAGGCTTGAACTTAAGAGTCTAAGAAATAAACTAAAACTAAGATTAACTAAAGAGATATAGCCGAAGCTATCAAGATTCTAATCGAGTTGGTCCCTTAACTACTTAACTACGAAGCTTATCAGGGGCTTGAGTACGGCCGAACGTAATAACAGCTTGAGAGAGAGAGTGGCCAAAAGGTAGACGCGCGTCAAGCAGAAACTTTGATTCTCTCTAACTCTGCAAGTAACTTCGGGGTTTAAATACCGCTCCTCCTCTTTAAGTATTCAGAAAGATTCCAAAACTACGTTCTGGCCGGAAGTAGTAAGTTGTAGTTAAGAATTTGACAGGAAAGGAACTTTAACTTAAAATTTAACTGTTAATAAAATTAACATAATCCTTACAAGCTTTCCAAAAAGTATGGTGTTAAACTTAATTTAAAATAAGGTACGGGTCAAACGTTTTAGTATCCCAACTGAATTTTTTTGCGAAAGCTTCGGGAAAAGTTACAGAGCATTAAAGGAGTTTACAAATCCAGCAACTAAAAATTTATTATAATTTCAGCTCGAAGTCTAAAGCTGAACTAACACAAATAGAATTCCACTTCTGGTTGAAATAATAAACAATTATTCAATTATTTGAAATTCATACGGAATTAAATTATTTAAAATTCAAATGTAGTTATTTCCTAGCACCCTGCCTTTTTTAATTTTACAACTGCTATTTAATGTTCAAAGTAAAGGGGAACTGATCAACTAATAGAAAAGTTGCTCCAGTTGAACATAAAGAGAGTAGATATTAAGATCGGTTGAAATTGCCAGTTTTCTCTCTCTCCCCTCAATTTAAATTCTTTGTCATGTTTAAAACTGCTCTCGTTTATGTGTTATGTTGGAGTAAACACACAACAAAAGTAAAGTTCAATCTTAACATAAGCAACACTGTGTTACCTGAAATAAACTTTTACAAAACACACTCAAGCATTTTAATTAATTGCATAGATAGGCAATCACATTTTTTAGTGTTTTTTAGCAAAATATTCCATTATATAATTTTTTCCGACATTCGATTTCTCTGTATTTGCTATCTATGAATCCCTCTATGATGTCACATAAATAATTAGGAGTGGGGCTGGCAACATTTAAATGGAACTAACACTCTGTACGAATGCCTAGGCGGCAAGACGATTGCCTCTCTAATCTAGCCTCAAAATAATTTTCGCATGTTCAGTGATACCTAGAAGGAATCATATGGCAAATTTCAGTATTTGAAGTGCCAAAACGATTACACCTTTCCATGAAATCTTTGTAATATATAAATAATTGATATACAGTGAAACCTCGACAAGTTACTCACATCATAGGGCAAGCAATGTCAAGTTATCAAAGTACAAAGAATTTTTTTAAAAAATCTGAAAGTTTTCAGATTTTATATTACGTCCAAAGGGACTTTTTTTTAACATTTTGTGTGTAACCTTTATTTATTAAATATTATGTTCTTCACACTTAAACCATAAAATTCAATTCAACAGCAATATCACAAAATAATTTAAAAAGAAGTTATCCGACACACAGTCTCGCGCGCTGGAGATAATTTTTTTTTTTGTTCCGTACAGTGTTGCCATTACTCGCTTTGAAATCGTTGAGTTTCTTAATCAAAAACTCATAAATGCTTTACAAAATTTGAAATAGATAAGGAAAAAAATTCCAAATTTGGACTTCTAAATGTCCATATTCGGGTGCAGACCTACGATATTCAAAATTTGATGGCTCTAGGTACCGTTGTTTTATCACAATGCGAGAAACATACAGGTACAGGTAGAAGCTAAGCCAGCACCTCCGTAGTACCACAAGTAATTGAGGTATTGTTGAACCTAGCTAATTGTTAAACTTTCCACCCCAATTTTGAGGGAGAACACCCCGGGAAAGGGGAATCCGAGGTTCTCCCGCCCCTCCTTTTTTTACCATCAACCACTTGAGAGGACTTTCTGAGATAACTGACTTCTGGTATTAATAGTGTACACAAACCATATTAAGAAAAGACTGTCCTTGAAAAGTTCAACAACTGATGCTTCCAAAAGTCGAAATGCAAGAATAAATGTCTTTTCTAAGGCGGAAGGTGTAATAAGCAAGTCTTTGGAGCTCTCGTCCATCAGCATTGCGTAGAAAATGAAATTGTTGGAACGTAAAAAAAAGAAAAAAAAAAAAAGCTTTAAATTTATAAAAAAAAAATCTGGAATGCTTCAGATTTTAATTTACGTCCAAAGGGGCGTTTTCTTAATGTTTTGTGTGTTACCTTTATTTATTAAATATCATGCTCTTTGCACTTAAACCATAAAATTTAGTTCAATAGTAATGTCGCAAAATAATTTTAAAATAAGCCTATCTTTAGAATTTCCGATACACAGTTCGACGCGATGAAGATAAAAAGATTTTTTCTCCCCCGTAGATTATTGCCATTCCTTGCTTTTAAATCGTTGAGTTTTTTACTCAAAAGTTCGACTATTAAAGTTTTACAAAATAGAAAATCGATAATAAAACAAATTCCAAATTTCAAATTTGGGATTTCAAATGCTCATATTCGCAGTAGGATTACGGCATTCAAAATTGCATGACTCTAGATACCGTTGTTTTATCACAATGTGAGAAATATGCATACATTTATGCAGATTTTTCATTGTTTAATTTCTTCAAATATAATGCAGGACTCTAACATTTTGTGGCAACAGTTTGAAAAGTGAACCGACATTTATAGGGAGTCCGACGCAAAATGCCAAAACGAAAGTAATAGTCCTTCGGGACTCAGATCCCTTTGGACTAAAAAGGACAAATATACTTTAGTAACATATGGAGATGAATAAGCATTAGATATAACAAATATCCAGTCCGAGTCTTTGGATATGTATAAGAACGTCTCTGATTTTGGCCCTAAGGTGTCTGTTCTTTATTACGTATTTCTTAAATGGTATTAGATTGTTGTTAGGCTTAATCAGATGTTTGCCGTCTGTTAGATTACAGTCAAAAATGTAATGATCAGGGTCACCTCTTTCGCCACATATGCAGAGATCCGTGGGGCACACGCCTCTGTCATGGAAGTAGGTGGGGAAAGGACCGTGCCCTGTGATATACTGATTCAGAACATGGTTATAGTATAGTGCCTCTTGGTCAGTTTTTCAGAAAAAATTGTGGACTCTTCTGACTTGCAATGCAGAATCCCACTCTTCTTGCCACTTTGAGTCGACAATTGCATTCAGTGTAAATTTTAAATGGGTCTTGGGCCACGGGACATGAATTACCTCACTGTTGATGTTAGTCGTTGCATCCTTTGCAAGGAGATGGATTTGTTTGATATTAATTAAAAAAAGGTCAGCGTTAATGAAATCTTTGGGTAGCACTGGCGAAACTTGAACATTGATTTGTTCTTTGCTTGGTAGCGGAGATAACGTTCAGACGTGTTCGGTGTAAATGTTTCACAAATGTGTCGGGAATGTTCAAGATTATGTCTGTATGTTAAAGTTTTAAAACGGACAACAGCAAGTCTAATACCAGTGTTAATGGCACTCTCACACTCTCATGTAACGTGTAAAAAACGTTTTATTAATAACGTCCATACAACTTTCTGCTTGAACATTCTAAATCACGTCTATATGTTACAGTTCTAGAGCGAACAATAGCACGTCTAGTACCGGTGTTAATGGCACTGTCACGTAACGTGTCAAGAAAGTCTGTACAGTGTTCTGTCATAACGTTTTAAATCACGTCTGTATGTTAGTTCTATAACGTAAAATGTACGTCAAATGCCAGTGCTGGTTAAGCTTTTCATAGATAAGTGAATTTATACTTCAATATACATATAGTTTTCGCAAGAATATATATTGGATATAAAGAAGGAAGAACATATACACTTTAGTAGTGTCTATGGGATTTTTTTCAGTAGCAGTTTGATTTAAAAATTATGCTATGGCTGTATAAAAGTTTCAAATGCCACTATGTTTAATATTCATATAAACATAATAAATACATTTCCTAATAATGTGTACATTTCATACCATTTTTTACTCCATACAAGCCTGCGGAAAATTGTTTATTTGCAACATATGACATCAAAAATGTTTGTACTCTTATATCTCACTTTGAAATTTATATTTCAATACAATATTCATGCACCAGCAGCCGAGCGGTAAAGTCGCTGAACACTGGTAGTTCGGTCCGAATCCCTCGAACGAGCTGGCTGCATGGGTGTTTTCGTGGTTTTCCCAATGTGTAACGTGTATACGAGCCAGTTTCTCTTAGAAAGTCCTCCACGAAGGCAATCCTCCCCTTAGGCAGATATCCCTAGTGTGCTTTGCCATAATTAAATAAACCAACCAACCAAAAACCAAAATTTTGCTCTAAAACTACTTTCCTTTTCTGTTAATTAGGCACTGGAAGCAATAAGATGCATACAGTTACTTCTAGAATGCAAAGTTATTGAACAAATTTAAGAAAAAGCATATGACTGTAAATTTTCACATAATTAACATAATTAAATGATAAAATTTTAAGAAAAACGCTGGATTTGTATTTTGCTCTTGCGAC